GTCAGTGAGGTTCAGGTACGTCCCAGTGACTCTCACATTTGTCCTGTATCAACACAAGCTGCGTTTGAACCGCAGGAACTTTCCTCCAGAACTAGGAGCCTCTGTAGGAACTTCGTGTGTTTCCATCGTAAAGGGACCAGGGTCTAAATAAAGTTCCAGGGGATAACAGCCATAATCTATAAAAAAACTTTATTTTTATATATACTCTTCTCTTGTATCAACATTATGGAGCCACAGAAGAAAGCCTACGACAGATGGGTCGACAAAGAAGTCCAGGCCAACTCGAGTATTTTCGCTGTTGAGTATAATCAGATGGAATTGGAAACACCATAACAATAAAGTTTATTTAAAGATTCAGTCACTTCTTTGTTGGAAGCCACGGACCGACCGACCAGGCGGTAGAAGGTTAGTTAAATCATGCATTGTATAAAATGATACAGTGCTGCTGTACAGACCACAAGATGAAACTGGAATTTTTTACATCATGCATTAGTATACATACGGTTGCAGCCAGACAAACAAAAACACATATTGTTGTTATAAATGATTCTGGTCAACTGTGACAACATAATGAATGTATCACTATCTGCATGTGGCTCACACTAGAAATTGTGTTTTGTATACAGATTAAATTGATTTGCTTTAAAACTGAAACTTTTAGAAAGGAAAGAAAACACATTTACTCTGTCTAGATTATTTTTTAAATCTTGAAACAGAGATAACTGGCAAACAATAACATCTGCAATGACGCCCCTGATGCCAGAACACAAAATTTTATATTATCTCGACAAATCTCAAACAAATGCGTGAATCCTAATTTAACCGGAGCTCACAAAATCACAAACTGTCAAAAACAAACCATTACAAGTAAAAAGAGTGTGTGCATGTTCCTCACTCACACACGCACACACACCTCCCCCCTCTCTCACCTCTCCTTTCTGCTAGTGAGCATTGCTTTCCAATCAGTGACTCCTCACTCCTCTTCTAAGTGTTCACATCTAAAAAGGGTGAGTGAGCCTTTCCCCTTTCCTCCACTCCCCCTAGTGGATCCACTCAGCACTGCATCTTCCCTGCGGATCTGCCATACACACAGAGCGAGAGAGAAGAGAGAGAGAGAGAGAGAGAGAGAGAGAGAGAGAGACCCCTCCTCCAGATGACATCAGTGCTCTATTGAAGCAAAGCTAGAGGCAAACACAATTCCACATTTGTATTGAGATCTAGCCGTGCACCTATGTCCTGGCACAGTCCATAGATCGTCTATGTGTGTTTGTGTGTGTGTGAGAGAGAGAGAGAGAGAGAGAGGGGCACCAGTAAACAGCAGTGCTGCCACAGATAAACTCCAAATAGCTCCAGAGAGGAGGGAGCTTTTTGGGATCTGACTTTTAAAATCCTCATAGCCTGGACTGGATTATTCTTTTTTTCGAGTGAAGTCCACTTTAAGAGGATACCTGTTACGTTGCTTTTTGGGGGTTTATTATAAAGGTAAGTGTTTTGTTTTGTGCTGGGAATGCATCCTTTCCATCTTTTCTCTTTTCCCTTTTTTGGATATTCTCTCTGGCAGAAGGAATTGAAAAGTCACGAGGATTACTCGGGAGTTCAGATCTGACTAGTTACCATATTGTCTCCCCTTTCCTATATTTATTTTTTTATTTAATACTGGACCTGGTCGAAAAAATGACGGGTTCCCCTGAGGAAGTTGTCTCCGAGGGTTGGTAGACCTAACCAAATGAAATAGTGTTCTTTTCTTTCACCAGACGGAGCTCTTCTGTTCAGAAGGCATCATCTCTCTCCGTCCTCTCTTCAACTTGCTGCTTTTCGTCCTTTTTTTTATTCTAACATTGATCACAAACACCAGATCTGTTCTCTGCGCACACGAAGCTCTGGCTGCGACGCGCAAAAAAACTCCCTCCGCGGTCACATTTCCTCACTCCGCCGCACATGAAAAGTGTAGAGAGCAACAGGGACGCGTAAAATCTCCTCGGTGCTTAATTCAGCTCTTTGAGACCAAGTGAAGCGGTGGCAGAATAAACAGGGGTGAATACGCAGACCTGATGGGATTAGAAGGGGGGACTGTGTGCGTTAAGTCTGGGGCGTCGCAGCCCGGGGAGACACCCCGGCGTGCAGCTGAAATTGCAGCGCAGATCCCGCGGAGTTTGGGCACGAAGGGGCAGCTGGAGGAGCATCAGCCTTGCAAGACTCTGACCAGCTCCCATTCATGTCCCACCACACTAAAAACTACTGTGCGCAACTGTAAGCTCGTCTCATCCGGACAGCCACCCGTAAAAACACAGCAGCATCCAGCCAGAGCTTTACGCTGCAGGGGCGCACAAAATACGCACAGAATAAAATCCATTTAAGTTTCATATTCGCAGCTCATTTTACGCACACAGCAGCGCCCTGGACGCGTAGTTAACACCGTCTCAAAGCAGAGATCTGACATTTCATTGCAGTGAGAGCTATAAGCATCCAGGCTTTATACAGTAAGATAAAACCTTGTGCTCACATGGCCGACCATAGCACAACCTCCACCCTAATGATGGTGCTAATGAACCAAACTCCTCCGTTCCTGTCCCTCTCCACACAAACCTAATATGTATCCTGTTAAATGCAATATAAAGTAGCCTCTGTCATGCACTGAATTCAAGCTGCATGTGTTAGTGGCAACACCAAGGCAGGGACAGTTTTTAATCCAACTCAACGCCATCTCTAAGAAATGATAAGGTGTATGTATAGGCTGCAGTCTGATTCCATTAAATCACTAACACTGGATGTGACTTCACTTGGTAATGGTTTGTTATTGAGACAAAGGATAAATAGCCCGTTAAACATGGTAGACATGAGGACAGACCCAGTTGTCTTCACTGATGACTGCCTGAGGCAAAAGGTCTCCAGTCGATTGCTTTCAGAGGGAATTCACATTGCAGATTAACAACTAACCAGGTCACCACAGACACAATTTCCTATTGGCAAAAAAAAAAAACGTTAAAGCATAAAATAGGAATGACATGTTAGGAAAAAAGAAATAAGACATCCACAAATAGACATTTATAGCCCCAAAGACACTTTTCAGACACTTTGACGAGGCCTTAATTCAGTTCTGTTCATTATTTATTTAACTACATATCCGTGTCCTTTTAGACAAATAATTTCAGTGAATAGCAACTGGAATTAAAAGGTGTAAAACATGGCTGCAAAGCATAAACACTGCAGGAAAAAACCTTTGAAAACAATATGACTCAGGAAAAACTGTAGTGCCTACCACCCCCATGTGGGGAAAAATCCACTGCAGCTGCTACAGATCCATCCTTTCAGGCTGTTACAAAAGAGACCCCCGTCTGTCCCGGGCCTCTCCGTGCTCTTAATGGGTCAGCTGAAGTATCATCTGTTCAGCCCATGTAAAGGACAGCACCAGGAGGCCGCAAATCTCTGAAACTATCAGGGATATTTGCCAATTTTTTTATTCTAGGCTGTGTCCCTGTGAAGTCAAATGTTCCATTATATAGCTCGGCTCCACAGCGGGCCGCTGCCCGACGTCCTGACACACACAACTTACCTAAATGTAAATACATGACAGACACAAGGTTTCATTACACACAACAACGTGGAAAACCTCAACTCGGTTAACAGCAGAAAATCAAAAGTGAAAAACCAAAAATTACAGACATTTTGTTTTGTATTCACCTCAGGTTAAACTTATTTTCATCAACATACAATTTGATGTTTTCCAGTCTTATCTGAGTGTTTGCTTAAAACCTACCAGGCTTGCCAAGTGACACGCGAGACTAAATACATCTTTTAAGACCCAAATCTGAAAACACATAATGTGTTGTTTGCATTCATAAATCAAAACAATAATATGAATTTTAAGGAATAATCAACAGCAGATACAAACAGCATTGATTTCCCAATGGAGAGCTCCACTGTGGTTTAAAATTAATTTCAGGGCTCATGAATAATTTAACAGTCAGCCATACTACTTCTGCAGCTCTTGCCCCCCTAAAATGCGGCCCAAGTAATATTATTCTGCATTTTTACTGAACTAAAAAGTCATTATAATCTGCAATAGTTTTGACAGGCATGAAATTGTTTCAGTTTGACTTTTTCTTCTTCTGCAGTGTATGACTAGGGGGCACAAAGTCTTAGGCTCTGTTATTGCAGACTAGTGTGCATTTATGCGTGTTGAGCTCACAATGGCTATCAGTGTCCAGCTTTGTGTGAGCCTCCCACGCTCGCCACTGAAAGGTAACTAGCTGTACACACACACACACACACAGTTCTACCAGGATGCTCAATTTAACTTGGTCAGTTCAGATTAAATGAAGCAGAGGCCACGATGACTGCTAAAGAAATCTTCTGTCTGACCAGCGGAGGTTATTAGAGCGATAGAGAAAGACATCCATCACTAAAAATGTTTAACTTATCCCCCACTGCTCTCAAAACGATTACATGCATATGAACATTGTGTGTGTGTGTGTGTGTGTGTGTGTCTGACAGCCTGCATGGTATACATCCTCAGTCAATTCAATTTAAAAGGCTTGCAAAACAAGACGTGTTAAGTAGAGGGATTTTTAATTTGCCCGAATTAAATGTTTAAATGCCTAAACCCCCACTGTTGAGGCTACAAGGGCCACAAGCTTGCCTTGTAGCAGACAATAGAGAGGGGCCACTCTCATGAAATCCGATGAGTGAGGAAAAAGAAAAAGGGGGAGAAAAATAGCAAAGCATCTCAGGCTGACTACGCTGCTCGTAAAAGCAAGCATGATGTTCTTTGTTCAAAGCAGACTTCAGATAAATCACCCTCACTATAACATAACACACAGAGGCCATTACACCATGTGATACATTGTGTTTTTGTTCCATCAGACTATATTTCCATCAGCTTTCATATATGAATAATCCCTTTGCTCCTTCTATTGGACGGTGAGCAGGTAACAGTTGTGGTGGCCAGAGAAAAAGACCATATGAACTGGAAATCATTCAGAGGCTCACGTCTCCTCACACAGCCCGAAAAGACTGAGGGCAGATATTTCTTGTCTGGATTCTCTTGACGAGAATGCAGACACAATTACAGTGTTCTATGGAATGTTAAGAATACAAGCATTTAAATCAAGGCTAAACACGTAACCATTTTCAGAGGAAGGAGAATCCTGAAAAAGGAGTGAAACGGGCCATTTAAAATTGAAATAGCTTGACTAAGTGCTGCATGAAAAGTTAATTCCAACAAACTGACAGCACATATCCCTCCATCATCCTGCCATTTTGTGAAACTCGCATTTACTGAATTTCATCTTTTTTTCCCCCTAAGACTCCTTTATTCCAGAAGTTTGTAGAGGTCACATCTGGTGCTTTTTCCCCCCGACTCTAATCTACTACTAATGTAATACTGGACCGAGAGCTTGTGTTTAGATGGAACAGAAGGAAGGGGGGGCGTTATGATTAGACAGCATCTCAGGAGTTGTAATCGAGTTACAAACCTCTCAATTCCCTGATCCTCTCCTTGTCATGAACTACAACTGTTAAATGGCTGGGCCCTTTGTTCCCAATTTACCTTTCCATGTTTTACAGCACTTAGCAGCTGCCAGCAGGGCTCATGGATGGTTACATATAAGAATAGAAAGCTATTGTGTTAAAACACAAGATAACATTTTCTTTGGGAAAGGAAATTCTATTTTTACAAACAGAAACAGTATTCACAGAATGTGGGGAAAGGACGGGGGTTAAGGGTCAGAGAGGAGTTCAGATTGGCCATCCTCTCCTCCATACAAAATTAAAATGGGCCTCATCTGTCACAAAGTGCTTTTAAACAATGTGAGTGATTCAGTAATCACCGACTGGATCTATTTTTACTCTCAAATGTGGAAATCTGGACTGTTCTTGTTTTTAAACTTGCATATTCTGCATTTCTTAATCGCAGGACTTGTTTTCATGTAAAACACCAAAAGATCAGCCAAGCAGTGAACTGGACAGAGAAAGGCATAGGGGCTCCACCCTCAGCCATTGTGTTGGGGCCTAGATCACTGTTGTCTTTCGTATGCATAGACATTCTTTGTTGTATCACTATAGAAAAGAAGTGTGGTCTGTTCGAGTAACGGGCTACAAAAGGTCAACAGGCAAAATCATTGCCAAAAAGAAAGGGCAATTCTAAATAAGTATTCAGAGTGTAAAACTAGCGAGAGCTCAGGATCAAACATATATATAATTTGTACATATTAAAACCTATGACTGAAATGAGTACATACAATATACTGGGGTGCAGACAATATATTCCTAAATCATGCCCTGATTTTAAACAAAATAAGAATATGTTTTTTTGCACTTGGTAATTTCATTGCACCATTTTGTAATATGTGAATGTTGGCACTGAATATGTTTGTCTCTGCTCCTTTTCCAGAACACAAACCCAGGTGTGTGGAGGACACAGTATGAGTCAAGCTGCAGATGCATAAAGGAGGCTGGGTCCACAAGGATAAGCACCTTGCCCTGTTTTGCCCCTTAGAGGAGAAGACAACATTGGTTATCTGCTTCAGGAAAAGGGACCAAAGGACTGGATTAATGTGTATACAGGCTCGACAAGGGAGCAGAGGATTCTGGGTTACCTGTAGACCTGGAGTACACAAGTGAACAAGCTTGGATTGAGCCTGTGGCACAGGGGATTGGCATGGCTCAGACCAGCTTTGTGTCAACTCATCATGCCTGTCGGGCCTGATTGCAGAAAGGAGCCTTTGTTAAAGCGCTGCCCGTCCTGCACACGGATCACTATACAACATCCGAAAACTCTAATCTGCAGTTATGGCTTTTGAGCTTGACAATTTCCACACCCATAAGGATTTTTAATATTACCTGAGTGGGAATGCTTTTTCTACAGGCTTATCTGCCATGGTAAAGGCATTGAAAGCATGAGCCTCTGACAACACAGAGGAGGTCATCGTCCAAACAAGGATCAGCTCAGCAAACACTGACCAGGTCAGGATATCACAAGAAACCCCTTGGACAAACTTTTCCTTTCAGAAAGGATAAGAGCAACTTCAAGAGGAAATCTTGATTGGATTTTTGGAGGCTGGAGAGGATTTACTACATCGTATACATCAGGTATGACAAATACGGATGGCTTTGCTTCTTTCCACTTCGCTGATCAGACCACAATTTCTAATGAGATGTGCAGGAAGAGAGGTCATGGCAGGAATGCATAAGTAAAGCAATAAATTAGTATTAGCCTAATTAAAAGGGAACTACACACTGACAGAGACAGACAACCAGTTGGTCCCCTCTGCTCTGCATTATTGTGTCAATTTGAAGATTATCCACTGTAACTGTAGAGATTTTGAAATTCAATATGTTGTTATTTAAAACATTTAATGCACATTTTCCATGCAAGGATAAATGAGGATCACCAACTGCATTTTGCAACCCGCCCTTAAATTTGAATGTAATGAAAACGTCTATCTCATCTCTGAGCATGTATAATCTAGTTAAAGCCACACAATTTGAAGTGTAAAAGGCATGGGTAAGGGTCTAACAGGACTTAAGAGCATGTCACTTCTACAACAGTTCATCAACAAAGCCTGACTTTGTTCACCCTCGTGGTCTTGTAGCGATGAAAGGCAGCCTTGAGATACAGGAACGTGTAAAACAACTAGGGAACGCTATTACATTTCACAAGACACGGCCAAAAAGCACAGAGATTCAATTCACAGAGCTCTGTAGTTATTTTTCTAATGCAGGTTATTTTTTAAACTTTTAATCCTAGGAAATCTTTAATCCAGTAGGTGACAGTACAGCTATCTCTGAAGCAAACACCTTATCTTATTAAAAGTTACATTGTATTTTCACCGTCAAGCAATACAAATGATCAGTTGATATCAATTTAATAGAAATTCTTTGACTATCTAGAAAGTGTTACAGGCAGCATTTCAAACACCCAGCAATTATGAGAACAGGAATGTGGCTCTCCTTTTCTTGCTTTAAATGTACCCTTGTGTCTTCTCCCCAGGGGCTCTTGAGCGATTAGACTGCCAGGCGACACAGCTTCAAGATGGTGCGTCAATGCAAGGCCTTTATACTCTTCCTCATCAGGGTCGGGCTGCTGCTGGGTCTTGCTAACCCCTTGGTGACCTCAGCCTCGTGTCCCTCAGTCTGCCGCTGTGATGGGACCTTTATCTACTGTAATGACCGTGGCCTGACTTCCATCCCCACTGGTATACCCCTGGATGCTACCGTGCTCTTTCTGCAAAATAATCGCATTAAGAGTTCAGGCATTCCTACAGAACTACGCAGGCTCGTATACGTGGAGAAGATCTACCTGTACTGCAACAATCTGGATGAGTTCCCCACAAACCTTCCTCTTGGGCTTAAAGAGCTCCACCTTCAGGAGAACAACGTTCGGATGATTACCCATGCCTCTTTAGCTCAAATTCCCTACATTGAAGAGCTGCACCTGGATGATAACTCTGTATCCGCAGTCAGCATAGAGGAGGGGGCCTTCAGGGACAGTACTCACCTCAGATTACTTTTTCTCTCCAGAAACCACCTAAGCACTATCCCTTCAGGCCTACCCATGAGTATTGAGGAGCTGCGCTTTGATGACAACCGCATCTCCTCCATCTCAGAGCAGTCGCTGCAAGATCTCATCAACCTGAAGCGGCTAATCCTGGATGGTAACCTGCTTAACAACCGAGGGATTGGGGAGATGGCTTTCATCAACCTGATCAACCTGACTGAGCTCTCGCTTGTGAGAAACTCCCTGACATCGCCGCCAGCCAACCTTCCTGGCACCAGTATGGAGAAGCTGCAACTACAAGATAATCATATTAATCGGGTCCCGCCTGGGGCTTTTGCCTTCCTTAGGCAGTTGTATCGCCTGGACCTGTCTGGTAACAACCTGAGCAGCCTCCCACAAGGTGTATTTGAAGATCTGGACAATCTGACACAGCTGCTGCTACGCAACAACCCCTGGCAATGCACTTGCAGGATGAAATGGGTGCGTGACTGGTTGCGGTCATTACCAACTAAGGTGAATGTACGTGGCTTCATGTGCCAGGGTCCTGATAAAGTCAAAGGCATGGCAATTAAAGACCTCACTACAGACATGTTTGACTGCACAGATTCAGAGCTCATCCCAATGTATGAGACAAGCACAGTCTCCAACACTGTGCGCCCCTCACAGCCCCAGTGGCCCTCGTTTGTGACTAGAAGGCCGGTAGTAAAAGGGCCCGACATCAGTAAGAATTATCGCAGTACTACCACCTCTTCAGGCAGAAAGATTATCACCATCAGTGTGAAGTCAAGTAGTGCAGATGCAATTCACATATCATGGAGGGTGTCACAGCCCATGACTGCCCTACGGCTTAGTTGGTTAAAGCTGGGACACAGCCCTGCCTTTGGTTCCATCACCGAGACCATTGTGCAGGGGGAGAGGACGGAGTATCTGCTCACTGCACTGGAGCCAGAGTCTTCCTATAGGATATGCATGGTTCCCATGGAGACCAGCAACATTTACCTGTCAGACGAGACCCCTGTCTGCATAGAGACTGAGACCCGTTCTCACAAATCATACAACCCAACCACAACTTTAAACAGAGAGCAGGAGAAAGAGCCTTACAAAAATTCCAGTCTGCCTTTGGCTGCTATCATTGGAGGGGCTGTGGCTCTCTTGGCAATAATCATGTTGGCACTGGTGTGCTGGTATGTCCACAGGAACGGTTCACTTTTTTCCAGGAACTGCACCTACAACAAAGGCCGTCGGAGAAAGGATGACTATGCTGAGGCTGGCACAAAGAAGGACAACTCCATCCTTGAAATACGGGAGACTTCTTTTCAGATGATACCAATAAATCACCTGCCTGTGTCCAAGGAGGAGTTTATGATACACACGATTTTCCCACCTAATGGCCTGAGTTTATACAAAAGCCCACATAGCGAGAACAGTATTAACAACAGGAGCTACAGAGACAGTGGAATACCAGATTCAGACCATTCCCATTCATGATATTGCGCATGGACACTCATGATGCGTGCGTGACTTCAACAGAGTGGTGAGACTTTCACAAAACACTGGATCTATAAGACTAAGAAAGCAATGTTCTGTACATTTGCCATATAATTTATATTTAAGGACATTTTATGAAGACGGAGAACGTTCCAGTTGCAGGCCATCACTGAACCATCAGTGGGTATGGTAACTAACTGCAATTCTATATTTTAGGGATTTGTAGTAATTTGTACTGTATTTCCTTTGCTTAAGGTTATCAACCTACTAAAAGAAACTCTGTGTTCTACTGAGATATGATGACTTGTCAACTGTGAAAGTGGGTTTTCATTGCTGTGTTGAACAATCAGACTTTAGAAAACCTTGTAGTATAAGCACAGCTCATTCTTTTAACTTTGTGGCTGTCTGAAAAACAAAAAGGCAAAAAAATGACATGACGTAAACTCAAGGCACAGCTGATCAACTAATTTGCAAAGTAGGCATGTTGTCCTCTAAAAGAACGAGCAGTCAGTAGCTGTCTCCTCATTTTATGGGCCACGAGTCTTGCTCTAGTATTCACCTGGTATTGAGTATGAATAACTAAAGATGAGGTGCCATGCTTTATTTCTCTGCTTCGTTCGGTGTGTGTTTTTTTCTGTTTGCAAGAAGAAGAAACAAGGCAAAGCAACCCGAGCAGGGCTCCAGTGTTTCTGATGGGACTGTAGGCCACAGCACAGGGCAGATAAAGCACACCGACCTTAAGGAGCATTCTGCTCCTCAAACAAGTAGACTGGACAGGCTGACACAGAGGACCCTCCGCTATCTCTATTTGTACAAGCCAACATTACCCGGACAACAATGGCGGCGTTCTTTAGTACCATACGTCATCCTAGTCACCAGGCCAAAAAGACAGATTTGGCCTGTAGAACTACCACAGTGTCAGAAAGTCCTTGTTATGAGTGTTATTTTGTATTATTTTTTTTTTTCAAATGAACACACTTTTATGTTGCCACAATTTGAAGTTAACTGTTCTTTACAATTGAAAACCAAAGTGCATTGTATGCCCTTTGGCCAGTCTTGTATGTGCCTTGATCCAATGCTTATTGTATTTAGCTTTTTAAGAAACCAGTGACTTTTTTTCATACACACTTGAATATGAAAAATATTGGTCATATTACAAAATAAAAGTGGACAAAAATAATGTTGCTCTTTCTTATCCTGAGTTCAACAAATCCCACTCAAATAATAATTCTATTGTTCTCAATATTATTACTTGTATCATGCTTTGATATAATTACTCAATTTATTTTTGCTACTATTAAGAGTTCTATCTTTGCACAAATGTGAAAGGCCCTGGAGTAAAAGAGAGGGCTACGGCCGACCTGTTTTATTCATTCATTTCTAAAATTACTATCCAGACACACTGTCTCAAATTGCTTCGAGGTGCAAACATAACCTACTGAATTTTTATCCTTCACGATGATCTGAACTATGAAGCCTAAGCTCATAGCCTTAAAACCACATCTTCCCTTCCAAGACACAGCAAACTATTTAACTATAACGCACATACTGGTCTTGAAACCCAGTTTTCCACTCCATGGTCAGTGAGCACAGCAACATCTGCTTGAGGCTGCTGTTGTTCTTTCGTGCGGTGAAGCCATGTGTGACTTATCCGATTGGCCAGAGAGAGAAATATCACAGTAGAGTAGAACTAGGGCTGTGGAGAAATTAGACTCTAGGGTTTGATGAATCTCTGAGGCACCAGGGCAACAGAAAACTAATGACAAGCCACCATATGGAGGGTGGGACAAGCAGACCCTGCTGGGGATGCCCGTCCCTGCAGAGGACAGAGTATATATACGCTGATCCGGGCTCTAGGCTGCACACTTAATGACATGGTTGCAGCTCAGCCGAGCAAGGGCCCACAAAAGGTACACATGCAAAAGTAGTAAAATATCCTGTTTCTCAATTTCACACGTGCATGCAATAGAATATCTTGTGAAGGTTAAAATAAAGTCAATGCGTTTCAGATTCTACTCTCTTGACTAAACTCTTACACAAAAGCACACATGTATTTAGTGTGTATCACAAAACATATTGCAGACTCACTTTCACACACCCACAAGCTCTTAACACAGTGAAAGCTTTAATTACAGAAAGGGGAGCCGCTAAAAGCTGCACAAGTGATCCAAACCTTAAGTATACACTAACCCTGCCCTATACACTAAATATAAATCACATTAACTTGGAATTAAAGTAAACAGAGGGTCTACTTTTAGAATACTGAATAGTAATGGTTTCCATATGAACACTGTCAACAGAGGTTGTTCTTTGACTGTAAAGCGCTAGTCGCATCTTATTTAATTTAACAAAACAGGAAACTACATGAGGAAACCCAGGAATGTTAGTCATTTTGTCTTTCATCAAGCTGAAGTGCGTGAAGCATTCTTGACAGAGGAAACATTCATCACCTTTTTATGGTGGCCTTCTGCAGAAATAAAGGAAACAATTTGATGCGCTATGATCTGTTTTGAGGTAAATTAAAACTAAAGAAGGCTGAAAGGTATCATATTGTTATTTACTTAGTGGAGGATGACAAAGCAGAGATCTCAGCTGGATGAATGAGGTGACATTTCAAATGTAGATAGTTCTCTAGTGCAATGTCCATGTCTCCAGTTGTGGAACCTCTTCAATTTAAAGTGTTATTTTTGAGCCAGTAAGACTTTTTATATTGACGAGATCACTGTAATAATCTTTTACTTGTAATCTGTGTTTTTTTAGATAAAGTAACTCACTCACAGGGCTTTGTAGTGGTTGACCACTTTCAAGCTCAGAGAATGAGCAAGCTGCCGTTACTTATTCTCTCACCTGTGTGATAAATTGTAGTTAAGCCAAATGGTGAGAGGAGCGTGCCATTGTTGTGACATTCACTGAGAACAATACATTAAACAGAGCAGCTTTGTGCATTTGGTGTGACCCAAGTTTGAGGCAAAATTGATGAACCAGACTGCTCACAACCCAGTGTGACCTCACTTATCACTTACGACCCTTGACCCGTCAGTCCCTTTAAACAATTCCTTAATCACTCTCATGTTCTCACTGGGGTCATACAACTCTTTAAACAACCCAAGATGCCACATGCATTTGTCTCCTAAGTGACACACACAGACCCTAATTATGTTTGTCTTTTATCTAACCCTGAGATGAAAACTAATGGGGGCAGCTGCACTGTCTGCCCCAGGCTGCTGTTATTCCTATTGTAATGTACTGGTCAGGCAGCCGGTCACATTTGCATTCCTATAGATGCTCGAATCAAAGCACCCCTGGATGACCTCATCGTGGTCAGTGGCTGCTCACGGTTCTTCTCCATCAGCAACATTAGCAGGATCCCAAAAACAAAAAGCACAGGCCATGTGCCCCTATGAGTGATTAGAGGTCAGGGAAGTCAGGTCACAGTTAGTTCAAGGATCTCAAGAGATGAAAAATAGATGCATATCAGTGCCCACAAAATCGGGGACTCATCAGTGACAGACAACCTGTCCACCAGAAACCCCCTGGTATTCATTTCATGAAAGTCAGAAATCATGGGGGAAAACACTTAGAACAAAAGGTCAGATGTTTAGCTAATGGCTTGATTTGCCTTTAGAGTCACACAAGCGACTCAAAGCATAAGGTTAAACCAATGAGTTGATACAGAGAGGACCAATTTGAGTTTTTTTTCTCAGCGATTTCTAAGTGAGATGGTTTATCAAATAACTTGAGTGGGCAAGTAAGGAATTAAGGAGATCAACGACTCGCAAAATCCACAGTTGTTTGTTTCAACCAAGATTTTGGAGCCACGGTTCAGTAAATACATTGTTTTGTGGTCCCCCCACAAACTGCTGACTTAAATGTGCCTGGGAGGGATCTGCAATCTCAGGGTTATTATCCATCTTGAGCTTATTAGAGTAGTCTAACTTTTACTGCAGGCTTGATCGCTCAATCATGGACTAATAAAATTACATGACACATGCTGCTGGAAAACAATAACAGTCTAATGTGTAACATTAACAAAATATACAGCGTGCCCTTATTTTAAATGGAATAATCATTTTGAGATTTATTTGTATTATAGTTTTGATTCCAAACTGATAAATCAGTTTTGTTACATGAGCTAAGTAATAGCTGTAGCCGCTTCTACATCCCACTTCCATCGCTCCGTCACCATAATAGCCAGATTGTACAGTAAAGGGGATGATTTACAAAATCTTAGCTTATTCATCATTTTGTTGTTAGAAAAATTAATAAAGAATAAAAGCCCATTGTTTTAATGGTTTAATATCTTGCAATTAGACTAAAGCCAAAAACAACCACACATTCAAAACAAAAGTAAAAAAGGGAAACTTGCTGTTCCCTCTCCCTCACATCCTGTTGCACACAGCTTGCACATCAAACAGACCCATGATTTAATGGCCTCTAAATGCTGAGTAGTGGAGTGCTGTGGTCCGACGGCAAACCAAGGATCAGGGCCTCCCACAAAGTCTGCACTTTTGCCTGTGTGTGTGTGTGTGTGTGTGTGTGTGTTATAAAAACAGCACAAACTATTGATGCGCTGATGTGAAGTACTTTCTCCTTACATTTATCTTTTGGCACAGCGTGAATGGTTCACTCACATTCATCTTAATCTCTTTGGCTCTTTATATTCATTCATTCAAATATGCTGTTATTAATGCAAACATGTTTGTGACTATGGTTGTAGTCACTGCGATACATGCAAATGAGCGTCTATGCTGGGAATTACAAACTGGGGACGCTTCTTCAAAGTCAAGTCAACAAACGAGGCTTTTGCCTGCCATTTGCTATTTATTCCTGTACGTTTTGCGATGAAGAAGAGGAGGGGAATACTGACAATCTGAGTCTTTCACAAAAGGGACAGGATGTTTTTGATTTCCAAGCCGTGTTCACCACACGTTCATGATTCAACATTTCATGGGAGGCTCGTGCTAAACCGCGCACGTCTGCATATGTGAGTGTTTGTTCTACATATACCGTGTGTGTAACTGTGAACGTTATAGAGGCTGTGATTACTCGTGCTTTCATATAAACCAGTGCACGTGATCCACACATCTAATGAACAAAAACAGATCCATGGTACTTATTGATATGCATGCAAGCACAGTGACCTAAAGCCAGTGTCTTCCTTCCTCCAGACAGTTGGTCCCAAGTCTGTCATGTGGCTTTGTCGCTCTTAGTCACAAGCACAGATTGATACTTTGAGCTATAAAGGCGCGTAGGGGTGAAAACAGTGTGTCCAGTGAGAGACGTGTCACTGTGAGTGATGTGCTTCTGTGTGTGTTGGGGGGGGGGGGGTGTTGTCTTCCACCCTCTGTCTCTGACGAGCCCCCCCCCCTCTCCACCAGGCCAGGACCCTCTCCATCTCTTCACATTACTCAGTGACCTGAAACCACGGGGCCAAAAACGCCTAACCAGCTCCTCCGTCTTCTTAATGAATCCAATTTTTTGCCTGACAGCACAAGCCGTGCACATACATCCATGGCAATTCTAAATTAACTGACATTAATACAAATTAACAACAGCCAACGCCATCAAGACTGTGCCACCCCACAATGCCGTGACAAAGACGATGTATCTATATCGCTGTAAGAAGACAGCAACTTATTATATAGCCCAAAATGCAGTCAATAATCTCATTTACAACAGGCTATAACCAAAACAAAAGGAGAGGAGCTGATTGGGGCTGGTGCCATTACACTATGAATTATACACAATATGTTATGAAAATATCCATATAATTGACTCTGCTGTATGGCAGCCATTAATTCCTGTCCTCCATTAAGTGGTTTAAATGATCTTGTGAGAGGCCATACATCTCATGATGCCCTTTATGAGATCAACACCACATCCCCCTCAGAACTTAATCGACCCTCAGCCCCATTTGTCCGTGAAGTCTGATGCAGAGGAATAATTATTTCACTCCTTACCGTTCTGAGGGGTCCAGCTTGTCCATTACCCACAGCAGATCTGCAGCATTGCAGTGGGAGGCCAAAGCTCCTCTTCGATCCATTCTCTTCTCTCATTTATGTTAAGCCAGCTTTAAATGTCAGTACAGTATCTGCATGCCAGTGTGGCTCTTGTCTGCAGCTCATTATTTTCAGATGTTGACAGCCTAATCGCATGCAAGTTTAGCCCATTTTGCTAAACTAATGGTTGCTACCGCCAAGTCATACTGAACAGCAAGTAAAGGTTTTGCTTCTGCAGCTCTCGTCTGTAGCTGGCTTATTCACTTGGACAATCAGGGAGGAAACACAGAAAAGGCAGCAACCTCGTATAATCAGCTCATCTGTAATGACCGGAACTGTTTGATGCTGATCGTCAAAAGGCACCTTCTTCTACTTATCACCGATAACATAATTTACTTAAATCACATGTTGTGGCTTTGATTCTTCTGCACCTGACTTTGTTCTCCCGAGGATGAAGACTGAGCAGGTACTACACCTCCGCAGATCTGATATAACCCTTCTGACAGTTTGACCTTCAGGTAAAAGCTCAGTCCATCTCTTCAGAGGATTCCATCCTGCCCCTCATTCACTCAGACATCTTCCACTTCTCAGCTGCAGCTAACACATAGACATTTGCTTAAGGGTGGCAATGTTTTGGTACTCCTCCAAGAGGTGCAGAATTCAGCAGCGTCAGCACCTTTTAGGATTGTAAATACAAGCTGTCGCCATTCGTCAGGGCACCAGAAGGAGAACGCAGACACTTCAAGGCCTCATTATTTCACTGTCGTCAAGCGACTCGACATGAGATCACTGCAGTGCAGCAACGGGATTGCATCCCTTATCCAGTTTAGGCCGACAAAAGGTTATTAACATCCCATGAAGACCTGGTGCAGTCACATAGTTCAGTCACAGTTACCAAACTCTTGTAGACAGAGTCTGGGGAGCTGACGTCAGAGGGTTTAAACACGTGAAAGCAGTTAGCGGGCTATCTCCCGCTTTCA